TCAGTACGAGACAAGAGCACGAGAGAAACCCCTGACGCCAAGAGGAGCCGACAAGAAGCCTCCCAACTCGCCCGTGCTGTAGAAGAGTCGCTGGCGTCATATGAAGCGGAGCAAGAACGAGACCGGTTTTCGTCCCTCGAAGAACTAAGGGCTCGCCTGCAAGGGGTGTCAGTGTCTCCGAAGTGGACTGTGATTCATAAAGAAGAGTGCTCCATGTTTTTGAACATTATCGACTATCGTGAACCTTGTTTGAATGCGTCATTGACCGTGTTTGCAAACCTTGAAGTCTTTGCCTGCTATCAAGGTTCACCAATCAAGAACCTTGGTAGCGCTGTTGTACCAGACTCAGTTCAAAAAGTAAGTTCCTTGTTGGAAATTTTGAACAACCTGTCGATGCTGTCTGAGGAGCGCTGCACTTATCGCCACCTGGCTCAAGCAATACATTCCCTTCTGGACAAATTGCAAGCCAGCATTGATGAAGGCAAGAAAGAGACTGTGAACTTTATGAAGGAGCAGCTACTACTCCTTTCTGCAAAGCGCATTCAGTATAGCGCACAGGTGATGGTCTTTGCATGCATCTTGCGTACAATATCACCACATGCCTACAAGTTCCTGAGAAGCACAGGTGCACTAACTTTGCCCCACCCAAGCACTATTAGAAAAGTGTGCTCGTCTATTCAAATGTGCCCACAAGTTGATTCTTCTGACGACACTTTCCTTCAGTATGTGTCTCAGAGATTCAAACATCTGCAGGCACATGAACACACTGTGACGCTGATGCTTGACGAGATTTATATCAAACCTTGTTTAGATTACAAAGGTGGGAACATATGTGGTGCAGCAGTTAACTCCAACGAAGCGGCCACATCGGTGCACGTGTTTATGATACAAAGTTTGCTGAGCGCATTCAAGGAGGTGGCGCACATTCTTCCGGTAAAAGCCTTACAGGGTGAAGATCTTCATTGCATGCTGAAGAAGGTGATCTTGGGCTTAGAAGAAATTGGATACAGGGTCATAGCCGTTGTCTGTGACAATAACTCGCTGAACAGGAAGGCAATGAAGATGTTTCTGCCAGAACCAAAGCTTAGCCCTGTTTACCCGCATCCGGCAGACCCAGATCGGCCGTTATTTTACGTGGTGGATGCTGTGCATCTATTTAAATGCATAAGAAATAACTGGCTCAACCAGAAAAATGCTGGAACTTGCTTTTTCTACCCACGCTTCGAGCTTTCGAACAATGAAGTTAATCCCGAATGCAAGATGACTGCTTCATTTAAGCATTTGAGAGATTTGCATAAAGAGGAGTCACCCCTGCTTCTGAAGTCTGGGTATGGCTTGACGTCAAAAGCTCTAAATCCAAGCAGCTTTGAACGACAGGACGTCAAACTCGTACTGCAGGTTTTTAATCCACACGTAGCCGAAGCCCTGGCCGCTCGCAAGGGTCATACTGATTTTCAACATGCTACAGCAACCGCCGAGTTCATCAAAATAATTCTTCGTTGGTGGAGCATTGTCAATGTAAAGACACCTAGTAAGGGCTTCCATCACCGTAATGTTTACGAAGAGCCCATGTCAAACCACACAGATGACCCAAAGGCAAGCTTTCTAAGCGCTTTTATCACATGGCTCGATGTGTGGGAATTTTATAGGCACGACACCGGAGTACTTACCCAGGAGACATTGAGTGCCTTGAGGCTCTCTGCTCAATCCCTTTTGGCATTGGTGAAGTACTGCGTTAGTGAGCTTCACTTTAAGTATATTCTGCTAGGGAAAGTCCAGACGGATACCCTCGAGAGTCGCTTTGGACAGTACAGGCAGATGGCTGGTGGGCAGTATCACATATCTGTTCGCCAGCTTTGCGAAACCGAGGGAAGGATTCGCCTTCAAAATGCCCTTCCAAGGATGAGCAACGATGATCTCAGAGGCATCGAAGAGACGGACAGTGTCAGGGATGCGGGCACTTCTTTTAGTGTTCATGTTAGCGATGCTGACCTTGATGAGCTCAGAGCACAAATGCCGGTGATTGGTTATGTTGGTGGGTATTGTGCACACGCTGCAATGAAAGTTCTCAAGTGTGAAAGCTGCCAGAGGCAATTGGTCGTTACCCGAAATACGGCCGAAACAGGAGAGGACACCCATTCTTTAATCGCACAACTGGATCGGGGTGGCCTCAAATTTCCTTCTGCTCTTGTAATCACAGTAGTTATGTACACAGAGGTTGTAGTTAGAAAGCTCATGACGGAAAGTACCTCTACCCAGTTTCTCCATGGGCCGAACCAAAAGAATGTCGTTCGGCAACTTACACTGGACTCTCTGCCAAGGCTTGAGGACATAGATACGTGTGAAAACGGGCACACCTACGAGCTCCTCATCACATTGGTTGCAAACTGTGCAGCAAATATAATGCTCAACAACTTGTGCAAGCAAAGGAACGATCTTTTACGCATTGAAAAAGATCAGAAGGCGAAAAATAGAAAGGCCCGAATTTTTCTTGGAAAGTAATTTTCCAAGCGTCGCGTCTTTCTCTTCACATTTATTCTTGTGAAACTGCACAGAGTGTATTTGATTGCATGTCATGACTTGATTTCCTTGGTATACTTCTGCCTTATGTAAAATGAGCCTTGTTTCCAGTTTTGTATCTCTTTACAAGTTGTTAGCTTTTAAAAGTGCTGTACTTTTTTCTTTTTTTTTAACTCGAACTGCCTCGGTGCCTACTGAAGCAGTTGTACAGTCCGTTTTGGTACCTAAGCTGTGTACACTTTCCTTGTGCACTCTGTGTACAGACATGTTGTGCACTGTGATTTGTTTTTTCTTAGATTTTTGTTTGATTTTTTCCCTAGGACATGCACCTACCTGTGGCAGTACAATTACTTTTCTTTCTGTCATTTATCATGCTGTGGACCACAATTTAGTCACCAGTGTTCTTATGTATTGTATTCTTTGGCAAGTGTTTGAACCTGATACCTTGTGTTGCTACTGCTACTATGATAAACGAATGGTATGTTTTCCTCTAACGTACAATTTAAATGAAAGTGTGCTTTTTCTGTTCCAAAGCTCGGGGATGTTTTTGCTGTTACAATCTGTTTTGTTTTGAGTTTTATGTGGCAAGATATTGTGTTTTGTACTTTTGGCATATTTTCAGCATTAAGGGCAACACCTTGTGTTGCCTGTAGTCTGCCTGGACCGAGAACAATGCGCACTGTGATATTTGTACAGACGGCGTCTGGCTGTGATAAATAAATATGCATTATTCCATTCACGATATTCATTATTTCTTGATACCTTGATAAGTTCCCCAACCGCGGTGGCTCAGTGGGTAAGGCGTAGCGCTGCTGAGCACTAGGGCGCGGTTTCGATACCCGGCTGCGGCGGCCGCATTTCTGATGGAGGCGAAAAGCAAAAACGCCCGTGTGTACGAGATTTCGGCACACAATAAAGATTCCCAGGTAGTCAAACTTGATCCTGAGCCCTCCCCTACGGCGCGCTTCATCGCCTGCGTTGCGTCGGCGCGTTAAACCATACAATCAATCGATACCTTGATAAATCGTGCGGACATGGTGTCAAGGCACCTCGCCCGAGTCGGTAGGCGTGAAGGGCGCTCGCGGCAAGCGCTCGCGGCTGGCGCAGCCACCCAGCGAAGGGCGGCCGGCCGGCCGGCACAATGTGACGTCGTCGACGTCACGTCACGTGACGCGCAGGCCTGAAAAGCTTCCGGGGGTGACGGCGAAGCTCGCCCTCGAGGACCTGAAAGACCAACAAAAACTTGTCGCCAGGGCTAAGAGAACAGTAGAAGCCAGAGGGTTCCTGGACAAAGGAACCCTCCCACCTCAGTGTTACACCAGGCATTGCTCGGGACACTGTTTCGAAAATAAACGTTTACTTCTCCCCCCCCCCCCAAAAAAAAGACCATCGTTTTTAAAAACTGAAGTAGCGCCAACCGTATCCCTTCGCATGTACCTCGCTCTCAGCAACCACAGCAGTGCCTCTAGAGTGTCCACAAGGAAACTACGAATGTGAAAGCACGGCTGCCTGGATGGGGCGCGCGCGTGGTGGTCGCCCGATTCAGGCGGCCGTGGCGAAAGCACGCGGGTGCACTGAATGTGCCAGACGCTTGGGCAGCTCGGGCACTGCTGCGCCATGTGTTGATCAAGTGGCCGTGAATCGGGCAAGCTCAAAGGGTATGCCGGTGGCGTCTGTTCGTGGAGCGCTCGCTCGCTAAAGTTGACAAAAAATATGGCGTTTGCGATGCCTTCCCAAAAGCTAGTGGGTCATGCTACGCATAGCACCGCCGAGTTTACATAGACAGCAGTGGCGCGCCCATCGAGAGCGTCACCACTGAGCACGTCTGCACGCAAACGGTGGGCTATGGCGTTGAGTATTGCATGCTAGCGGTGATGTTTTTTGCCAATGCATGCCACTTGCTTATTTACACGTCACATCATCGTATTTAACGTTACTTTTTATATTCTTTTCTTTCTCATTCACTATTTCGGTGCATCGCCTAGAACTGCAGCGCCCAAATGAGCTCTAACGGAAAAATGAGCACACGCCCATCTTTGCGGCAAGGAGCCATACAGACCCTACTCAATAGCTCCACACTAGAGGAACAGCGAACTCTAGTCCAGCGGGATCGGGTGGCGGCCTCGACTAATGACGTCCCGGACGAGGGATGTCAACCAGCCCGGTTGGGATAAGGGCTATCTGGCACAGCCAGCATCAATAAAGGTTTTTTCCTCCTCCCTCCCATCAGATAGCGTCATTTACTATCTGCTATTCACGTGAGGGGAAAGGAGCCTGCACATTGACACGAATGGCGCTACCTAAGTTTTTTTTTCAGGGACTTTTAAGGAAACTAGTTCGACTTTGCCAGTGAAGCTTCCGCTTTAAAATAGGTTGCCTTACATAAAATGCACGATAAAACCCATCCATGTTCTCTTTTTTTTTTCGCATTGTAGTCATGGCAGCCGATATTATCTAGGAGCACAAGAGACGTGTCCACAGCCATTGGTCTCCTACAGTTTATTCGTTCTGGCTACAACCAAAAAATTACATGCAGGATCCCCAGACATTCTCAACGGGATCGAATTGCCACCGATCCGGATGCCCGATGTGGCTGTCGTTGAAACCACTCGTGCTCCACTCGAACGCTGGCACCTGGAATCCAGTAGGTCCGCTAATTGCGATGAACTGCAGCCTTTTAAACTTGTCATACGTGGTGAACTGAAACATAAATAGAGTAATGGGTTAAGTACACATTGCAAGCACCTATTCAACATTTCTTGCGGTGAAGTGAATGATGGCCAACGCAAGTGTAACGGTGTTTGAATGAAAAAAAAAATAATCTTGCAATAGTGTCCTTGGGTGGCTAGCAAGTGCGCCTTCACTTAGTGTAAAAAAGGCTGATAGGGTGCGAATAGATCATTTTATCATTAACATTCTCGCGTTGGGAAACTAAGTTTTAATCGCGTACCACATGATACTTGTTCCCAGCCGTGGACTGACCAAATTGGAGTGCTTTTCCAGCACATCTACTCCGTATTACGTCTTATTTAGGAAGATATTTTTATTGAGTCCTTTGGCATGGCAGCGAACAGGCACAGCCAGGTCCACAGTGTGAACACGCATTGATTATCATAGCCCATGACTTCAACTAGAAAAGGTAGGTCAGACTGTTGCGCTAGTTGGCTATTCATAAACAACTGGAAGAATAAGCGCTAAACTGGAGACCACAAGGGAAAGAGTGGACACAAGGCTGGCGCTATACTAACTAGTGTTCATAGTCGTCACACCCGCTGAATTTAAAAAGACTTATTTAGAGCGATGTGCATGCGTGACATCGCGCTCTAAACAAAGTGAAAAGCAAATGTGGCAAACAATGCAAATATGCGATACACCTGCAAAATAACAACGTACGGGTCACAACTGCACATGTCAATAGTAGCCCTGCAGAAATTTGAATTCGGAAGCGTGCTAAGTAACGAAGGCCTAGGTTATACATGAATGAAAGTCATTTTTTAAAATGAAATCCGCCTCTAAAGTGCACCGAAGCAAAATGTGTCGGTTTATGCACGGAATCGCAGTGCTTTGCCGAATCAGTTGAGACCCAAATACAGAAATGTGTGCGCCAAGATGCGCATACTTGTTTCTTTCTTTTTGGCACTTAGTGGCCGCTTCCTAAGTCGGTCATTGGCACATCTTTCGGACTGCCTAAAGCAAAGTTCCCCAAATAACATGCGATTGGAGTGAATAATTCGAACAGAGCATTAATCGAAAGGGTTTCCATGCCTACTGCGGCATCCTTGTATGCTTCCAATACACATTCCAAGGCAAGCTTTTTGGAGCTTGTTGTGGGCAGGAAAAGACCAGGGGCACTTGAAGCCTCTTTGCCACTTTCTTGAGAACGTGCGACAGGGTGTTCACGTATGGCGTGGTCTTTTGTGTCCAAGTCAAACCCTGATACTGAGCGCGTATACCCTTTCTGCTCCGTGTTTGACTCATTGCAGGAGCGACTCGGCAACTGCTTCGATGACCTTTTTTCAAAGGGTAGCCTGCCACTCAAAGGCAGGCCACTTGCCAATCAAGGCTTTATTATGTTTGGTTTGCATTTTGTTTCCAATAATAGGTTACGAACTTACGCCTGAGCAACACACACACACACACACACACACACACAAACACACACAAACACACACCTTAGCACACTTGCGACACCTGAGCAGGATATTCCGAAAGAGTTTAAAGCAGCTGCGGTGCTAAAATGCTTCACTTAGACGCAGACGTCCTGGGTTCAATTAGAATTTTAATCTAGATATTTTTAACACAAAAGTGTTTTTGCGTGGGTCCATGTAGACTTAACTGACGTGCTTCCGTCACAGATATTACGTCATTAAAGCTTACATGAGCAGAATGCAAAGACATGAACCAGAAGAAAACAAATATTTGTAATTTTGGAGAAGCGGGATTCAAGCTCACGACCTAGGGAGGAGCAATTGAAAGAAAGCGTGCGCTCAGCCGACAGAGCTATTGTCTTTTTTTTTCTTCTTTCTTGGCCAACTGAGCTCTCGTGCGCATGCCTGACAGTGTTCAGACGCGCCTTTTGTGTCTGACATCCCTTCGCTGTGACATTCCTTTGTGCTATGTGAGCTCCAAAAAATGGGTAATTCAGGTAGGCGGCAAGCGATCTAATATTTCCGATATGCAGCACGTTAATAGGACCATTCGATTTCTTTCAAATTCTACGATAACAAAGCGACTTTAACAAGGTATCGGCAATACACCCAGAGGGGACCTACATAGTCCGTAAGACCTCCCTGATGGGACGAAAAGTTTGCGATGGTGTTCAGTTAGAACCATTAGAATAATAAAAAGACAAAGTGAGATTTGGTTAACCGGTACTTATGTGGAAAAGAGCCGTGATTACCTTCATATCGATGCCACCGACAGGTCGCCGGTACATTCTGGGAACGTCGTACTCTCCTTTCGGGTCAAGCAGGTCGTAGCGCGACGATATGGCGTAGACAGGGTTGTACGGTGGAGTGCAGTTGCACCGTGAGAAGGGGTCGTTGGTGTAATCATTGTACCTTGATGAGAAAAAAATCGCATAAGCAAGTCTTTATACACTTTCCTGGATCAAATTCTGACGAAATCCTTCCGCCCTAGATCATGTTTTGAATCCACAATTGAAAATGTTCAACCTCGAAAAGTTTTCCTAAAACTTTTTTACAGTCACTCAAAAATGAGAAAATTATTCTTGGTATTACAATCAATGAATGAGTTAGATCGTTATGGTTGTTGCACGTCCTGAACATAGCTCAACTGTGTCACAGATACCAGAATGTATGTGTTTCTAGTAGCAGAGGAGCCATTTATGCTCGTGGAAAACACATTAGTCGTGTATAAATCTCATAGTGTCATCCACTGGCAGATTCGGAGCACTTCTCTGTCTGAGGTGCGATCCGCACCCCCAATGCGCATGCTCTCTCTTCGCGTCTCGTGCCGCATGCTCACGTCTCGTTCCAACTGTCGCTCCCCTCCCGCTTTCTCGCCTTACAAGGCTGAAACAGTCAGCGTCTGCTAGTAAAAAAAACCAATGAAGTTAAATAACCTCCTCGTAAAAAACCGACTGCTTGCGCTGCACAGCCGTTCACTGTATCGCGCGTTCGGAATTGGGGCGTCTTTAATTGGCTTTTGCTTGACCAACACCTCCTAGAGGAGGCGCTGGCTGGACGTTGAAGGTAAAGTTACTGTGTATGCTACATTTAGGTACCAGAGTTGCGCATAGGTCCGCCATCTTGCCGGCTGAAACATTCTTGTCATGCAGGAAAGCCACCCCTTCTGTCAGCATCCCTTGCGTTCACACAGCCGAGAGAGGGAGAAAAACGTCTTTATTCATAAAGGCATGGAGAAGGAGGTCATGGGAGTAACCCATAGTCCGGAGTCCCTAGGACGACTCCGGCGACGAGTCGAACCCACTGTATCATATAGCTTGGAGAACCTCAGGAGGTTCATCACGGAAAGCATCGTCCCACAGCTACTCGTTACGTAAAGGGTGAAGGAAAGCAGGTGAGGGAGGAAAGATGTTCGCAGTGCACTCGATCGAGACATGGAAGGTCGTGGGCGAGTTTACGAGGCAACGGTCTGTATAGCACTGCGGGTAGAATTTATGAAGAGATAGCAGATTGGTGAATGTTTTAGTCTGTAGCTGGCGTAACGCTACGGCCTCTAATATAGTTTGCTTTTTTAAATTGAGCCTTGCTTCACCCTATCAATTCGGACATCGCTGACACCTTCCGAATGCAGGAGCCGACGCAGCTCAGTGGCTCCATGCGTTTTTTCGCTCGTTCATAACCTGTCGTTGGCGCAATAATTTTCACTTCGAAGGAAAAAAATGGCAAGCTTCACGTAGCCTGCCATTGCGTTTGTGTCTGGGTCTACCAAAGTTTGTTGCAAATAATGTGTTTTACATGCAAGCTCGCCTACCTTCTCTGCTAAATAGGTTTAAAGTTCTTACTGTGCAAGCATTCTTAAAGATATACCGTTCACAACAAATACTCTCATTTTACGCTTTCATTCAAGAACCGACTTTATTTTTCGAAACTTATTGGTCGCGACTACACACCCCGCAAATAGTATTTGCACAAGCGCTACTAAAGCAACTGAATGTAAACATTAGAGATATTGGTCCAATACACAACCTAAAGTCAATGCTTAGCATACAATTCGATGATATATTTCCTCGTAACGCGAAACAATTGGCATATAGGTATTTAAATGACCAGTTAGCAGATTATCTAGCTCACCTAGACATAAGCAATGGTATAGCGACTGATGCATCTGTGTCAAAAGAAAAGGCTGGGGTTGGCATCTTCTCTCCTTCTTTGGACTGGTCCTTTTCGATTCGACTCCCAGATTATACCCCGGTATTCATTGCAGAATTATTGGCTATTGTTCTTGCCCTACGCAAATTACCCTCAAGCGAATCATTAGCAGTTATCATTACAGATTCATTATCAGTTTGTAATCCACTTTTTGCGGCAGTAAATTCAGAGCTGATGAATACGTTTCGGCATTTAGTACCGAAAAACGTAAAAAAACTGCATTTGCTATGGGTACCAGGCCACCGCGGATTATATTTGAACGAAATGGCGGACTCTTTAGCAGCAGTATCCCTGGGTGGGCCCCCCATCCCAGTTTGCCAGATACGGCTTGCGTAACCGCGCTAAGGTTCGGAAATGCTTGCCTGCAATGGAGAAAAAAGTAATTTGAATAAATTCAAAGATTTCGAGCATTTGAGCTATTGCTGGAATAAACAGGGGTGTGTATCTCGTCAGTTAGAGGTCACTTATACCATATTGCGCTGTGCAGTTCCCCAACTAAATTATTACCTTAACAAAGCTCGGCTCAAGGCGTCACCGCTATGCATTTGGTGCAACGAAATTGAAACAATTGAACATTTCTTTTTATTCTGTCATCGTTATTCTTATCAGAGAAAAAGATTTTTAGTGGCCCCATTACAAAAGCTAAGAATACAAGTAAATCTACCAGTAATTTTATCGCTTGGCGGAACTTCATTTGGTTACTGCCACAGGGATGTATGCTCCGCTGTGTTTGATTACATCAACGCAACTAAAAGATTACCATGCTAGTGAACCCCTACCTTTTCAGATCTTTAGTTTATAATTCGTAGTTATGTCTTTCAAAAACAAAAGATGGTTTGACCGCTTGCTCAGCAAACATATTTGTTTTTTGGTAGTATTATTTTAAGCTACTTTTTCAGATTGGCTTCAATTTCATTTTAGTTTCACTTAAGTATCCCGCCGCCTGGTTCTTGGCCCATCCCCCTTTGTGGGCAAGCGCCATTCATCAGAGGTCATCAGCATCAGCATCAGAAAAATAGCTTGTTTCACGTAGTTTTTCGCCACTTTAAACGATTAAGCACGTGGCTTGATAAAAGAGTTGCTAGAGATGTCCTTCTGTGTTTTACAAACAGCACAAGCAAACGAGAATGTGCAGCATGTTGATGCGTAGTTGTGGCATCGTATGATCGTGGAAACTATGCAGCACTGAGCGACGGCGCTGCACAGACACCTCTAACACTAACGTTTACTAAAAAAAAATTGGCAGCATATCCACGGAGTGAATGATGGAGAGTGGGGCGAAGCATTGGTCCGTCCATTCGTTCTTGCTTCCATCCGTCCATGCGTCCGTCTGTGTGACCGCCCGTGCGTCCATCTGCCCGTCCGTGCGTGCTTCTGTACGCGCGTCTGTCCCTGCGTTCGTCCATGCATCAGCCCCTGCGTCCTTTCATGCGTCCATGTCTGTGTGTCCATGTCTGTGTGTCCGTTCCTCCATCTATTCAACACTCCAAGTACCACCATCTCGCATCTTTATCATATATTCCCCATATAGAAACACTGCCATCCAGTGGACATTCCAAGGGCTAAACGAGAGGTGGCAAACGCACTCTTTTTTTACGGCTTGCGCTTCGGGTCTACTTCTCACCTTTAACCACCTCGAGTTCATGGTATATACTAGTTCATTGTATTCATGGCAGTGCGGCTCAACGCTCGCTAAACCTTTCTAAATCTAAGGAGGTTACACCCAGCGAGTATGACGTAGCAACCCTTTCTTGTCAGATAGTGCTCAATGTACATGCCAATGGCTGCTAGTGGGGATCGCAGCGTGCGCGTTACCTAAAGGCCGAATGCTCTTGTCTCTCATTCCCCATTAGTAGCCATGGGCATGTACATTGAGCACTATTTTTATTGTTCAACAACGCACAGAAGAAATATCTCACTGGCACCACCTTGGAGGTCAAAATTTTATACTTGTTACACACTACAACGGGTACGAGAGACGAACGGGGCCGCTATAAGAAGCTTCGCCCCTAAAATGGACAAAACAAGACACAATCACAACACCAGCAAAGTAGTACTTAGCGGGATCTCCTCGTCGGACTGGCGCGGCAGTCGCCAGAACCTGCGTGGCCGTAAAGATTGGCTTTCCCTAAAATGGACGCTTGCGTGCACGTGACCACGCTGGGCTAATGGGGGTGCGACCGGCGAGTTCTATTAGTGGCGCAACTCTGCTAGCTAAAGGTATAATATAGACTCTTCTTTATTTCAACTATGATATCCTTAACCCCTGTTTGTCCCCTAATCCACTCTGCTCTCTTCTTGTCTCTTAAGGTTACACCTACCATTTTTCTTTCCATTGCTCGCTGCGTCGTCCTCAATTTAAGCTGAACCCTCTTTGTAAGTCTCCAGGTTTCTGCTCCGTTGCTAAGGAAATGGGCGTGGGCTGGGCATGTAGCGCGTAGACAGGATAACCGCTGGTCATTAAGGGTAACTGACTGGATTCCCAGAGAAGACAAGCGGGTTAGGGGGAGACAGAAGGTTAGGTGGGCAGACGAGATTAAGAAGTTTGCGGGTATAAATTGGCAGCAGCAAGCACAGGACCGGGTTAACTGGCGGAACATGGGAGAGGCCTTTGTCCTGCAGTGGACGTAGTCAGGCTGATGATGATGATGATGATGATGATGATGATGATGATGATGATGATTGACTATCTCTACAGTTGAAGGCAACGCCTCTCCTATTGAATAAATAATATTAAAATATAAATAAGAATTAAGCATTATCAAACCATACAGGATTAGGCAATATTTACGCGATACTCATACCACTCTGCGACGACTTACTCGAGTTCTTCCCGTGAGAAGTTGCAGTCGGCTTTTCATTTTTTTTTTCTGCTCCATGCAAAGCAAGTACGCACCAGTGGCAGAGCCAACGTTGGACAGAGCGATGGTGCTCTGTGTTTGTTCTATTGGTAGATTCAGAGCAGCTCCCTCAAGACATCACCTCCATGGAGCAGCTCTTCTACTCCGTTAAAAGCGGCAGCTTCCACCGGAAGTCGCAAGCACCCCGCGCCCTGAAACGCTCCAACTATGGGTGCGCCAAAGAACGCCGATCGCGTCGGTTGTGCCTCGCATCGGAGCTGGCGGTTTGCTCTCGTAGCGTCTTTGTGCTCAGCGCGTCCACTCGTGCAAGAAAAAATTTGACCCCGTATCTGCATGTTACACCACGAATGTCGTCGAAAGACGATAGTCTTGTGTCTGCAGAGAGTGAACAAACAAACCGTTTATTTCATGTTCTGTGCAAGAAAATCAGTGAATGGTATTTTGGATGCGCTGCGTTGGAGTGCCTCGAGTGTGCAGCGGAGGCGAACGTGCGCATCAAGTCACGTCACACGTGAGACATGAGCGCTATCTGGCAGTTATCCTGGAAAACGGGGCGCATGCCGTGTGCGCCCGTCTCTGAGTTGATGAGTTCTACAGAACGCAAGGCGACGGGTAGGTGCCACCACCGTGTCGTCTTAGCAAAGCGTTGGAAACACTTGCCTTTTCGGGCAAGCCTTGTGTCGTCAGCGCAGCGTGATAAAAGCTATGGTACTTAGAATTACTTATGTATGCCTTTTCTAGTGATAAATTTGGCAAATCCCACGTACCTGAGAATCAACTTTATGCGGAGCACGCGGAGGGAACGTGAGCGTGTTGCATTTTTTTTGCAACACGCTCACGTCTTTTTGCAACACGTTCATTTTTTTTTTTGCAACCCGTCAAGCTGAGGGGGTGACCACGAGAGCACCCAAACGTAAGCGGCTAGATAGATAGATACACCAAAAGTCGCCGAAGTTCACCAAGAAATGCTTCGCATTTAAAAGTACACATACATAATATTGGCGTGTTGTTATGGTGCCTCAGATATGTGCAATAATTGCTTTTTAATTGACAATTGCACAAGTACGAACAATGAACCTTGAGTAATAATTGCAGGCACTGTGGATGAGGTCGGCCGTTTGGAGTATCGTTTGGTCACTTTGATGTCGTTTAGGGTATTGTTAAAGGTGGACAAACAGACAAACCTACAGACAGACAAACCCAAATTCTCGCGTCGAAGGTCCCCAAGAAAGACTATCGTCTTTAAAAAGACGCACGCATCGCGTTCCCTTCTGGCCCTGCCATTCGCTCCAGGGGGAGCGTGTGCGTTGCATTCCTAGAATCCCTTCTGTTGTCCTCCGCCAAAGTGGAGTGCTCTGGCGCAGTTTGTCGAGCACTACGAATCCTTGACTGGATGTCACGATCAGTCATTGCGAATTGTTTGTTCTCTCGATGTTCGCTGATTTGTACGGCGTGGGACGTAATAATTCGGAAGGGCGAGAGAACATGCCCTCACACCATTTCGAGTCGGAGAGGAATAGAAAAAGAGAAAAAGAAGAAGGGGAAAAGAAAGGCCGGAAAGGTAGAGAGAAGAGAATTACGTAGACGCAGATAGAAAGAGAGATACAGATACGAAAAATATTAGAGATAGCAGACAAAGATAGCGAAGAGATCAAACCACAGAGAGAAAACGAGAAATAGAGAAAAGAAAAAGCCGACAGCATTCCAGAAAGATAGACGAGGAGAGATAGATTGAAAGAGGAAGAGAGTGAAAGCGGATACATCGTTGTCACAAAGAGTATAGTGTCGCAATGTTGTGGAAAGGAGAAGCGAGAGGAAAGAATAGGCATAAAAGGAGGGAAGAAGGTGAAGCCTATCACACCCATGTAGTTAGTAAATTCAGAAGAAAATGATAGCATTGAAGAGTGATTGGAAGGCGATGATGAAGGGTAGAAGCGTAGCATAGCCATTCATAGTACAGTACAGCAGAACAAAGGGTTGGTAAAGAGAAGAAAGGGTGAAGAAGAAAAACAGGAGGGGAGCACCACCAGCTGCATTTTTAGAGTTTTAAAACCACTACTGCGTAGCTACCCCCTTCCTTTTTTTTCAACAGCGAAAACGAAACAAAAGTAATGGTAGAAACATTTCACATTACCTCATGAGCCACGTCATAGAGCCTAGGTCGGTCACATTGACGTGGTCTCTTCGGAAGATATTCGCCCGGGCCGTTTTCTCATAGCTGTAATAGTCTCCATACTTTTCCACGAGTGCTGTTTGCCCACTTATCACGAAGATGTCATCAAAGTAGCTGAAAAATTAAGAAAACATGGATTGGTGGTACCGGCTCCCAATACGTGCTTTGATGGGAGTGAATTAAAAAAATGCAGCCCTTTCGGCTTACCGAAAACACATTTAATATCTGTTTTGCGGCTCCATTGTCAACTTTTCTCACACTATGTCTGTCCCAACCACAATGGGTGCAGCAAATTCAACCATCCAAGCTTTAAGGGAAGCAGCCTGAACACGAAAGTAAACAGATAGAAAGTACCGTGGAGATCACAGTGAAAACTGTTTTTTTTTCGTTTGTTCTTTTCTTTCAAAAAGTTACTGACAATCGCAGGGCTGCCTGTGCCTCAAATTTTTTATCGCAATGATGTCCTATCGCCAGAGGAGACTTTCGACGAGTGGGGGTTACGTGCAACTTTCTCGGGCGTTCCTGTGCTATTTAGCAAGAGCGTAAGCAGAAATATTTTGGTGTGTGGGCCGCTGGCCACCACAGTCATGTGCAGTGGGATCTGGGTAGGCAGATGTGTTTGCGTGTCATTTCGTTCTCTGTATGTCATGGCAAAATAAAATCATGGGGGACCCCCGTCCCCCCAAAAAACAGCGCGTAACATAGGACAGTGAAAGGGACATCCGTCTCTGTCACTGTCCGGTGTTACGCGATGTTTTTTCTGCTTCATTGATTGGCTGGCGATCACCCATTCTTATGACATCGGCAAATCTAAATTTACTGGTTTCGTGATAGCTTGGGGCGGCACGAAAATTACAGCCCACAATAAAAAGGACGATGCATGACGACTTTTTTTTGCGCAATAACACCTAGTTATCATAAAAAGAACGCCAACTCGCAAAACGTTTCATTTTACTGATGTTTTTTCGGGGATTTTAAGTGTGAAAAACAACGATGTCATCACGAGAAACGTCATAATACAGCGTTCCACGTTGTTTTTAATGCTTAATAAAGCGTGCATTGGCTTAGATCTCTCGGTGTGTTTAATGAGGAATAGTTATTCATGTGCAATTAGTGCTACTCAATAATAGACAGCGTACAGAAAGAAGTATCACGGTAAACAGATTTCTAGAAGTTCAGCTCTAACGAAAGGAGACTATCGCCGCCGGATTCAAACCGGCTTCTTTCAAGCGAGTGGCCGAGCACTGTAACCAACTTGCGTCTTGTGGCTCACGTGAGGTCTTCGGAATAAAAGTACCCTTACAAACGAAATAATGTAAGAACTGCGTGTATATTCTTCTCCAATAAAGTTGAGTATTTCTGAGGGATGCCTAAGAGCTCACACTAGTTTAGCTTGAGTCAACAATGAAAGCGCCGATACCAGAGTGTGGCCTCAGAGTAATATACTTTTAAAATGTCCTGTGTGCTGCGATGGGGTAGCGGTCAGCCGGCTTTTCGATAGCTCTTTGGGGACGTTAAAGGCCAACTCCAGCGATTCGGACGCAATGCCTCCGACAGTCCAGTCGGACTTGGCCCAGTCATTCACAAGCATGGCGGTGCTGTTGCAGCGTGTTCCCCTTTTCCCTACAGTCCTCGTGTCTTTCGCACCTTTCATACTTCGTACTGCGCCGACCAGCACGCTTCGAAGATTTTCGGTTTCCCCCATCTTATGATTTTCACAATGACTGTACTGCCCAGCAGGATTTTAATTCTGGTGTTGGGCATTTCACATATAAAAGCTACTTTTCAATAAGCAGAATATTTTTACAATCAAGCCTCGCGACAGGAGTGCCTCAGAAACACATAATCCCCATTATATTAAGATAGTCAAAAAATTATCCAGTGCTACAGGTGCACTCACTGCTTTCGCCTTCACCAAACAGTGGACATTCTTTCGCTGACGCGATAAAGCTTATTTAGACTGAAGATACTTACAGTAATGTCGCTTGTTGTTTGTTTTTTTGAAGCAGCGCGTGTAAGTTCACGTGTAAATGTGTAATCACCTACTTCACGAAATAATTTGCTACTAAAGCGACCGTTCTGGAGTTTACAGAACATGTTTAATAACTTGCTTTCGCTCTAGGGGGGTGTTTTTACGGACGGGATGTCCATCATTACGACTTCTAGTTTCTCACAAAGCGTGCGCTCACCAGACCTTTTGTTTGTTTTAAGTGTTTGGTGCACAACACGACCAGACTATAGAGAACTACTGGGCACTTCGCCAATGAATAGTCAGCTAAAAACGTTTTTTCTGCTTATCGTGGTCAACTCTCGAGACTGACAGATGCCCTTCTAGCTCAAATACACTGCATGAGCGAGCCATTTTTGCAGTCATTCTGTTAGAACCACAGGTATTTGTCTCGCGCAAGATATGCAGTTATTCCTTCATTATATCAGGTTACTTTCGCTCTATTGGGTAGGCCTTATGTGGAGTAAAACACGATGTTTAAGTGCTTTATAGTTCTTTTATATCGGGTCATGGCATGATAAGTTTCCTCGATGGACCTTGTAAATCACCTATATTCTTCGTGAAATAACAAGCTTTTGATAGTGTTCGCCTCCATCAGTTTTCCTTTTCTAGGTATAAAATTGTCAAGCTAAATTTTAGAGATAACGCAGCTTATGGAGATTAGTGGCAGTACGAGGCACCAAACATACAACGTACTCACGCAACATTATAGCTTGGCCAGTAGCTTTGCTTACGAAGAATGTCACTGACGTCATGCTGTCGTGTTATGCCACTGGAATGAAAAGGAACATGTTAGTGCATGTCACAATATACAAAGTGGGCTCGTACTCACGGCATTTGTTCGAGGATCCACAAGGTGTCGTTCACAATGGCAGTTCCAGGCTTGAACAACTTATAGTCGACAATCATCCACTGGTTGTTGTACCTACACGATTCATAATGAATGGCGCACATTTACTTTGACCAGATAAAAAGATCTCACAGAGAAAAACTTCTTAGACACACAAACCAATAAAATCAAATATAAAGCGTGTTTTAAGGCCCAAAACTACAAGACGCTCAAGAAGCACGACGCAATGGAGGGATCCGGAAATTTCTACAGCCTGGGGCTCTTTAACTTACACCTAAATCTGCTACATGGGCCCGAAGCGTTCTCGCCTCTGGCGAAATCCGGCTGCCGAAGCTCGGCTTCAATGTCGCGACCTTCGGTTGAGCAGTTGAGCGCCATAACCGTTAGACGACGCCGGCTGGTCTACTAGGCCGGCGGTTAGGTCGAATGTAGCAAATCGGAAGTCGTTGCTTTCTGCGAACAGTTCCTTGCCACAGGGAGAAGTCCAGAAAGCGGCAACTTGAAATATTTGCGAAGCAGTGAAATCCGTACAGTGTCATCGGCGAAACCAGAACACTTCTACTTTGCGGAGACGTTTATGCAGCTCGAGCGAAGATCTTAACAGGTCGTCGATGCACATCGTTTCGCGGGTGTGTGGGCTGCCCTTGGTAAGATGGCAGTTGTGTAAAGCAGGTCTGGTATCGAATATAGATGAACAACCGAATCGATATACGACGAAACCTCGTCTGGTCGGGAACAATCATGGTCAGCCCCGCCGCTGTGGTCTAGTGGCTAAGGTACTCCGCTGCTGACCCGCACGCAGGTCGTGGCATCTAATCCCGGTGGTGGCGGCTGCATTTCCGATGGAGGCGAAAATGTTGTAGGCTCGTGTGCTCAGATTTGGGTGCATGTTAAAAAACCACAGGTGGTAGACGATTCCGGAGCCCTCCTCTACGGCGTCTCTCATAATCATATGGTGGTTTTGGGACGTTGAACCCCACATATGAATCAATCATCACCAATTATAGTTAAAAGGTAAAAGGACGATGGCCACCAAAAGCACAAAAGATATAAACAAACATGTCACGTACCGGAGTCTTGTTCACAAATGAAGCAATGAAAGAGCAAATAAAAGGCGCCAACCAAAAACCCCTAAAAACATCCAGTGACCCTTAAGCTTTGGCTTTAAGAGCTGAATGCGATAGCAATATTCTCTCTCTAATGCGTACTTCAAGCGCTCAATGAACACTTTTTGTTCTATTGTGTTACTAGAGAAGTTCGAATTGTGGATTATTAAATTTAACTGATGAAGTTGAAGGTGGCTTTTGTCGGTGAGGCTTTGGCTTATGGCTGTGTTGTGTGTAATGGGTAGTGTGCTTTGAACCATGAGCAATTGCGTGTGTTACATATTTTCAAACTTGCTATAAACGTACTGCGTGGTATTAAGGAAGTACGCGCAGCAACGTTTCTGCTTTTTTTTCGCAATGGGTGGCCGGTTTGAAATCTTGAAGTTGTTATAATAATACCGTGTTCTGACACACGATGCCAACCTAAGCTTTTACCACCTAATACTTCTGTGATAATACACGTTCTATTGTGAAACCTGTGGTAAGGGCGCTTGTTTTGTAAAATATGGAAGTTACTTCGAGTGCGTTTTGAAAAAAGATAAGTAATTTTTACTGTACTTGCAAGCGAATGTTTTTGTGTTCATTATGATACACTTTATAAGAAACACCATTGAAGTAAATACGAAAAAGACGCCTGGCTGTGTGGTAGAGCACCTGCTTGCCACGCATACGGCCTGGGTTTGATCCTCGCTCAAATCCAGAAATTTTTAATAGTTATTGTATTTACGTCTTCTTTGGTTATTTGGTCACGCACAATTTGATCATTTTTAGCTCACAGCCAGTGCTGCCGACGCCAGAATTCCCGAAAGCTGAGATTTTTAACGCTATCATCTCAAAAACAAAACGAAAAACAAGGAATAGTGGGGGGCGCACACGTTCCGCTGAAAAAAGTTTGTCAGAAAACAGCACCACTCAACAGTGCATGATAGGCTGCCAAATTCTAGAAGACGCAGGGAGCATATTGGTTTCCGTTGTGTTTACCAATGTGGTCAAAAGCCCCTTCTCAAATGCTTGTACCTGGTAGCTGAAGCGTACTAAACTTGTGAACGAACAAGTTATGATTCTGCATATTTTCTCTCTCTTGAAGACCGGAAGTTCGAAGAGCGTAAAGCCTGAGGTCGTCGAAATTGTGACATGCTACATTAGAACGTCATGCCACTGCTGCATGTAATTTAGTTCGTTTTCTCACTGTTTATATATGCATAGTTTATATGCCAAGTTTTGTATTGGTTTCCTTCTTCGTTCCATGCTTACAATGTTGTTTCCCTCGTGTTAATATAATTTGTATTTCCCATGCCCCTCCTGCATGGGCCCTTACCTTAGCCTGCAGTATGTCTCATATAAATAAAAAAAATCACTTGGCATTATCCGTGCGATGCCCTATAGATTTAACTGAAGCAAGCTGCTAGCTTCACCAATGTACCATTTGCCAGAATATGAACATTCAAACATCTGAACTAGTGCAGGTGTAAATCGGTAAATAACCTATATTCAAAGAAGTCCGGCAGTTTGCTACGGGTAGGTAACACTAGATTTTATGTGAGGCAAGTTATAACTTCCTGCTATTTAACCATACTCTAATTTTGAAAGTGTTTGCAAGTCTTACGTCTTCGAAGAGAACAAAGAGTTATGTGTACAGTAGAACGAGGGTTTACTTTCGCATGCACTTATACGCTTTTCTTTACAATTCCTGTCACGGCGATTCGTTACTTTTCGCAGTTTGACAAACTTATCTAAGGTCCCAGTTGCTGCTGAATCATATATAGGCCTAATACTTGAGGATAATATTATTTGTTTAGAAGCGCATTTCAGTGTTCGGTTATAAATGTTAGTGAGTGTTTCAGCTCTGCCTCGGGTGTTCTTTTAGCGTGAGCTGGTTTCCTATATATCTTACGTGTTGCGTAATAGACCTCATGTAGAATGCTGTGCGGGTAATTTCTTTCAACTAATGCGCTCTTAGATAACCGAAAGGCCACTTGTGCTGCTGTACTCACGTGCCGCTGTTATCCCTCGCGAACAGGTCAACCCACTCCCGCCCTGATGTGGCCAGCCTTGTTGCCACCATGGTACGCACCCACGTCAGGGGCGCCACCTCTGGATCAAGCAGTAGGTACAGGTCGGGGTTGCTGTTATCAATCGATGTCTCTGTGACAGCCTGCCGGAAAGAAAAATAGTTGTAACTTGTATAAGTGAGCGTCGCATCGGCATTACCGAAAGCGTCATTCACGGGTATAGTTGCGGATGAAATCGGAGAATAAATTCAAAATGGCAGATGTTGAACGGCTGTGTCAGAGGGGCCTAACTAACCATTCCAAAGCGTTCGAAACATCAATGCCTAATAATAGCAGTGAGAATGACCCTTGAGGCTAACACACAAAATGATTAAGAGGTCATGTGAATGTTCGTAGGGTAGCAGTATTACTGTTAAGGCAAGACCTATGAATGCGACTACAGGTTGGGAGGTATGTGCTCCTCGAAAAAGAAACGAAAGCAACTCTACTTCCAGTGCACAGGAACCAACTCGCAGCGCTGATCTGTGACAACGTAGGCAAAGTTTTGCACAGAACATATATGCCCCTGTATTGCCCTAGACTAAAGGAAATGGCCGGGTGGTAGAGAATGTGTTGCTTTTGTGTTCATTAATTACATCCCACAAAAGCGCTGTTTCCAGAAAACTAAGTTATTACTGTCAAAGATAATTACTCATACCGCCTTCTACATCAACTGTATTTTGCAGACGAAAAAATTGCCAACTTTTCAAGAATTTTTCAGCCCCTGTGAAGCGACCCAGCACCCGCGTAGCACGAGCCCCCGAAGGATGCTTCGTAAATTACCATTGAACAAACTATTACACCTAAATCCTGAGCTACACTGTACCCAAGAAGTTACAACAGTTACAGAAGTCCGTAAATACGGAAACGTCGTTATCACGCACGCACCTGCTTGATGTCTTTTGCTTTGATAACTTTGAAATTTATTTCTAAGGCTTCCAAATTTATCTTGTATGTATGATTTTTACAATGTATTCGTCGCATGTATGATCTTTTTCTTTTCTTTTTCATTTTTTTACTGCTGCCTTTTTTCTTATTCATTTTTAAATTGAAACAGAACAAGACTCTCTTGGCAGTCACATTATTCACGCGTATTTTAACCTGTTCACAGTGCGGACGCACGAATTTATATGTACTTATTACCAATGAAGAACGTGTTGCATTATTAAGCTACAACAACGAAAATCGTTCTATGTACTACACATGCGTGCAGTGGTGCTATGGCCTGGTTGTGACACCCTTGCCTCGTCAAGCTGTATGCTTACAGCTTTCTTGCAGGGGTGGCCTTGAACACTGTACTTCCTGCATGCTGTAAATAATGAAGACTTGAATCGGCTTGACAGCAGAATGCTACATTTTTTTTCTGGTATTCTGGTTCCTGACACTTTGGTAAGTCGAAAAGAACTGCCGGTGCCTCACGAAACTTAGGACAGGCCCGCCAATGAAAAAAAAAAACATGCCATGGGAACTATATGCAAATCTTTAACCAGTGAAAGTTTAAACGCGTGGACCTGATGTTTAGCAGTACGTTCAAAGCGACCGTGCACTGAACCCTTTGACAATTATTTGTTGCACGTTCGGGCTTCTTAATGAGGCTAGACACACGTTTTACAAGGGTTTACCCCAGTGCTTATTTCCATGCCACGCATTGTGCCTCGCATGATCACGGTCATGGAGGAATGTGATGAGGGGGTTTAATGCGTTTGGCAATGCGGTAATCACAGTGTTTATTTTCGAACCACATGCTGTCACAGATGTCGCAGCCGAAGCCAATGTGCCGCCGGAAAAACTCCTCCCGAAAATGGGCATTCGCCCCGGTAAATCACCACGTTGACGCTGTGGTGCGCGGCGTTGTTACCAGAGTTCGACATCACGAGCTAAGTCGGCGGCTTGGTTTGCCAGATCCGCCTGCCACTGGCGCCGGCTTTCCCATTCGAGATTCACCGAAGCTTGGAAGATTGCCGGATCATCGGTACGCAGTTTCTGCCGGCGCTCGGCTTCCCGGGCCTGTCTTTGTGCCCGGACTGCACCATCAGTGGTCAACTTGGTGAATTCGAGCTCTCTCACGTTTCCACTGTTAGCGATCTTGTAGAGTTGGCCACGAACATGATGGCGAGTGGTGTAGCCCAAAGCACAAGCTCATACAGACAGACCTTGGTTGATAAGAGAGTGACGCTTCATCAGCCTCATCATATGTCTTTGTGCCTCACCTAACGGTATGATGCGTCGGTCTTCATCAATTATTATGTCGCCTGTGGCCTCGGAAATTGAGGTAGGCGAATCAAAAGTGGTGAGACAGCCGAGAGTGCTATTGTTTGCCTACGACGCTCTGCGCTTAAGTTGCGTTATGCTTATGATTGTTCAAACAAAAAAAGCAATTGCCGAAAAATAAAAACTCATGAAGAACCGTTTGATGGATTTTCTACGCTCATAATTCTGGTGCCAAGAATGTACATTCCATTAAAAAAGTCATAGCATATCCAAGGAGTGAATAATGATGAGTGGGGCGAAGAGCTGGAGAGTTTCATTGCTAAGCTGTGAAGCATCCACGAATATCACCCAATACATCATCAAAGATGTGACAAACACTGCATATATTTATACAAGAAAGTTTATTATTGGTAAGTTGTAGCTATACGTCACTCCCGTTCTCCCTTCATTATAACGGCTTCATGGTCGGTGAAGTGAAGGATCAGTGATGGGGCGTAGCGGGATGTTTGCGAGGACGAAATAGTGGGCACTTTGCTAAGGTGGAACTATATGCGGTCGTGTAGAAACAGCGGATGTCACAGTGGGAAAATCTATAGTTCATTAACGCGCACATCGATACAAGTACACGACCGTCTTGCATTTCGTATTGGCTACTTCTCAATAGTATTGGGTTTATCGTCGCTGAAGTGGTGGATTCGTGATGAAGTGTAGTGGGATGTTTGCAAGGTGGCTACATACACCAACGGAGGAAAGACAGAGCCACACCTAAAGGAGCTTCTCCCCTAAAAAGAACCACCTGAGAATGCCTAAGGGCCCACACACATGGCAGCACCTGGATACAAGTACATGACCATCTTGCATTTATTATTGGCTGCTTCTCAACAGTATTCGCTGTATGGTCACAGTAGTGGTGGATTGATGGTGGCGTGTAGTGGGATTTTTGTGAGGTGGTTACACACACCAACGGAGGAAGGACAGACCCACACCCCAAGAAGCTTCGCCCCTAAAACTTCCAGCGAATAAGCAGATGTTGTAACCAATTTATAAGTGGCTGTTTTCAACAAGACAACTTGTCGTCACGTCAAGCTCACGTCTGAAAATAGGTCCATTCGAATTCTCGTTTTTGATGTGTTGATTGCGAATTTTTTCAGGTTGCACTAAACTGCATCCGATGGGGATACAAAGCAATTATGTTTTTATTGTTCATGCAGTGAATCGCAGTAGCGCAAGTAGGTCTATTAGCCCTGTCACACTGTAGGTAAGAATGTCTTTAGGTTCAAATTTCATTGTATGCTACGAATGCCAGTCAATATGTGGTGGTGCTACGCAGAAAAAAATAGTGTCATTCGTTCACGTCAAAATTCAGAAAAAATGTGTCCGCAAAAGCTGGCGAAGGTAAATGTAAAGTGTAGAAAAAGTGAAGTTTATTACCATAAAAGGAATGTAATTCTGGGCTGGCACCCAGCAGACCCGGGTTTCAGTCTTACTTTGTCATTGATACTTGTTTTTTTTTTCTAATTTCGTGCGATATGGTTACGGACACCGGCGATAGCGACGGCGGCAGACAACTATACGCGGCACCGGGCATGACCCGAGTTTTGATCTGAAGACAGCTCTCCCTGTAAAAGCAAATCTACCTATGGTAGCCTTTGTGGACCACATTAGCGCTTCGCGTAGCTCGGTGGAGCAGTGGTTGGTACGAAAATGGCGGCGCACAGACAACTACGCGAATTTAGTAGAAGCTGGAAGCAGTGTGCTCCATTACGCTCTAATTTTCGCTTTGTTTTTCGAAGACACTTATTAGGTTGCTTGAACCCTAAAACGGCCGATCATGTAGGCTCCCTACTACTCTTGAACAAAGGTCACCAGTCTGCGGTGTGTTAAGGCGTTGACGAAATTGCAGTTTTCCTATTCAAAACGCACCGAATTAGACGGATACGTTGGAACACGCGTTGAAGGTGCTAACAACACAGTCAACACAGTCAATCGGCGTCCGAAAACAGCCGGCGATTGGAACCACCTTCCCTCTTCCGTTGTATCAATAACAGACCCTTTGTTATTCAAGACTGCAATTTCTCAGCAATGCTTGTAACTATACGCAGTTTTCATTATCTATCTTTGTCTTGTATGTGCTTGAATTCTTATACATTTTTATTTTACTTATGTTGCCTTCCTGATTTGCGCATCTGATACTTGTTTCTTTATTTTGTCTTTTTTTCTTGTGTGTTATATATGTTGTACCCACCCCCTCTGTAATGCCCTACGGGCCCTGAGGGTATTCTAATAAATAAATAAATAAACAGTGAAGATGAATGAAATTGCATTGCCGCTCCCAGTGGATGACACCACACCACCGACCAAGACCACTGTAAACCGTGGTGCCTGTTAAAGAACGAGTTTTAGGCGAACATTCAAGTTACCATGTTTCAATTAGGATTCTATTCAAAAAGGACGCGTTCATCCAGAACCTGTTTCGAATTACGATCGCCGAGACCACTGGCAGTAGACGGTGCTGTAAAGTGAGACACGCTGCGGCATGCTGACTCGCAGCAGACGGTGCAACTGCGAGTCAGCATGCCCCAGCGTGTCTCACTTTTCTGCACAGCTGGCTGGATCCGCTGCCGCCGCTGCGTTCGATTGTGTTGTTTCTGCTGGCATATCTCCCAAACAACGGTTGAAAATGTGCGAGCTGTTTGTTTTCTGCACTTTGCGTTAACAACTAGAAATCAGTACCAAATTTAGTGCTCAGAAAGCTGGCGAAATTGAATGGACTCTCAATGTAGCGGTGGCAGTAGCATTTCTAAGGGGCTGTACTACGAATGAAAATAATTCAGTGCATGCTGTGGTGTTTTTTTTGGGGGGGCCACTCTGGCATTTTCACTTTCGCTTCATTTGTAAATCTACACACTATCAAAGGACGACAGAGTAGGTGGTACTATTAAGAGCTGTTTAGAAAATATTCATTTATACTATGTACACAGAACACTGAGCAGCGTAGCCACTGCATCGTCTACAGAGCCCAACAATGAATGCACTCTGGAAGTACGTCCTAATTTGTAGCCTCTGCAGTTTCTCTGGGTCACTGGCAGAATTTCTGTGCATGTGTAATAAACTCTTAAGAAATCAGATTCTACGCATCCCCTGACAAATATGTTCGCAATGCATTCATGCCTATTAATGTAAAATGTTCGAAAGCGCGCACAAAATATGTTGAAAACACAACTCTAAATTTGTGAGTGTGACGTAGTTATCAAGAAATTATGGCGCAATATCAAAGTTGTGCTTCCTTGGTACAGAACAAACGTATTGAACTTTCACTTCACGGAAGACAACGGTTCTCAGCTGCTGTTTTGGATGTGTAAAGGAAGCAATTGTCGATGAATAGCATCAGTATTAAACTGGCATCAAACATTGTTATTTCATCGCGTTCAAAAAAACTACGATGCAGTCGATTTTATCCCCTCTATTTTAACACAAAGGTGTTTCATGCAGCGCTTCACCACGGCTCCGTTGATAAATGCCAGGCCTGTGTGGAAGGCGCAGCATAGTCATAGCGAAAGTTAGGAGAGTGGCCTTTCAGAGCTTTTTTAAACCTAGCACCAATGACACAGTGGGGCTCAAGCCCGGGTCCGGGTCCGCTGGGTACCAGACCAGTATTCCCCCACTGAGCCACACCGGTGCTTGAGACTTGTAGGCAAACTTTACTTAGGCAGGCTTGATATCGGAAAACAATAGCGTTAATACGACTTACAAAATATTTTAAAACAGTGAACCAACAACCAGCCGCCGCAGAATGCGGACAAGTGGCCCGTCCAATGCTCCAACCCATTACAAAAGCTTGTTCTTGTTCAGCTATTAACTGTGGCGCATACCCATTTTAGGCGTAATTCCCTATTGTCGTGAGCCACTGCTTGAACAATTGGCACAAAACTTCTTGTAAGTGTTTAGCGGATACCACGCTTCACAGAAAAAATGACGTAAAATTGCATAGCGATTGCCGGCCGACTACCCAAAATTTTTATTATTAATGCCATAGTGGGTATCAAGCAAGTGTGCTTGCACCAGTTACGCATTGAGTGTTTAGAAAAGGCTTTAAAATGCCGCTCCTTCTAGCTTTTTCTGTGACTGTGCTGCGCCTTGCGCGCAAGCCTGGCGTTTTTTTTTTAATTTTGTGCTATGTGGTTACGGACAACGGTGGCGGCAGTGCATAAATACGGCGCCACACGTGAACCAAGCTTTGATCTCATAACAGCTTTCGCTGTAAAACCCAGAGCGTTCTGTGTTTGTTCGCTTCAAACCATGTTATCACGCACGTCCATGCAGCTTGCAATGGAACAGCCGTAGCCTTATGAGAACAAACGTCTCCGCCTGGACCCATTGCACTCGCACAGCTGAAGCCATTTCTACGAATAGACGTATACCCATGCACACAGGTATCTTCTTGTTTACACTATGGCCGACAGCGCCGGCGGTCCGACGCCACTGAGGTGGAGAGTAAAGACGTTTCGCAACATAGTTCCGTACTCCTGCCCTTGTTAAAATGACAGATTCCCTCAAGAAGCATAATGAATAGCGTGTTTTTCGTGAATGCGAGTCAAATCGAGGAGGCCGATTGCCATTTTTTAGATAGTCTCTAGGATGGAAGGTATACATATATTCTGTTCGACTGAGACAGCGATTGTGTTTCGAGCTAATTTCATTGCCTGAGTGGTTAGATTCTAATGACATCATATATCTGTGTAGCAGGCATTATGTCATAAGAGGCAAATATCATTTCATTCAAATGACATTGAAGCGTTTTATGTGACAGAGGTAAAATGTCGAATTCGGAGTCGCTGGGGAAGATGGAAGCTGGATTTATTGCAAGTACAGCTGTGAAAAAAAGGTTCACTTTTACTCTAATGTATAATTTCAGGGGATATATGATTATGATTTCAAACTGGTTTTAAAAGCATGCCTTTCAAAAATATCGTAAGAGCACTTACCCTTCACTACGTACTACCCTACGATAAATGACATGGCATTTTAGTCTGTGAAGACATCATATGTTCCACCATATAGAGCCCGAAAAGCTTTAAAGTAATACGTGTGGCATTGAAAAAAAATGAATTACCAGTCCAGCTGATGTCAAGTAGAAATCGTCCAACGAGACCAGCTTTCCGGCATAAGAGGACATGGTTATTGTGTGACCAGGAATGATACCTTCTGCAATGTAAACACATGTGCATCATTTATGTATTTTTTTACAAAAGGTGGTGGAATGTGTTGTCGTACTAAACATAGGTTATAAGTGTACAAATTTACATACAGTTGGCGTGTACTGCCAAGGCACATGGACAATACGATTCTTCAAGTAATGCCGTAACTTTTTTGCAAGACAAAACTAATAATACTTATGTGAGTCCATGTGAACATGAACTAAGTCTATGTGAACATGAACTAAGTAGGTCCAAGAAAGCTGCTACAGCCGAACTTTCGTCGTTATTTACCACTCATGCTACAATTCCAGAAAAGTGACTGATATCGCAACTCCAGTTCAATTTCTGTTGCGCACTGCTTGCGAATCAAACTAAGATCTTGAGTACTAGTGAATGTCTTTTGCTATGCTACAGATTGATGACGTCTTACCCACTCGTACGACACGCTGTCAAACTCACGGCAGAAAAATATTTGCCTAGGTATTAGCGAAAAGCACAACTCACGGCTTTTTGTTGCGCAGCATATGGTAGGGCCCACTATGTTAAACAAAGAACACACGCAAAGGAATGACACAAAACCTAAACTTCCACTGATTTTCCGTAATAAAACTCTGTTGAAGTACAGCGCTTGTGTCATCTCTTTGTATGCGTGCTCTTTGTGTAACCTGGTGTGTGTTGCAATATGCTGCAATGTCTTACCAACTAGCTCGCCAAACACTTTGTTGCCCAGAATGACAAGAAGGAAGCAGCTGCAGCGGTTACAATCGGCAAAGAGTAACCTATCACAAAGCCCGCATTTCCAGCGCTATTTGCAATTTATTGATTTTGTAATCAGTGTCTTTGGCCTTTTTTCTTTCGCAGCAACGGTATGTTGAAATATGTAATCATTTCATAAAGAATGTCGTTTTCACCTTGTTGGAGCATCAACGTACACATTTTCAACGGCCGCCTGTGTGGTGGGTATATAAATCAGACTTTAGAGTTTTGCAGACACGTAGCGACACCTGTCTACAGAGTTTTGGGTAGTGCAAAGCCCGACTCCCTTGCCTAGTTCACTGCGCAACTATGCGCTACTAGCATGGGCGAAACAACAATCGAGATAAATATGAGGTGTGTTTACCGATTGAACACTGTTAGAAAACAGAGCTACGAATTTCTCTACGCCAGTCGAACGTGTCAGTGAACCCCCATGACGTGCATGCTGTTTCAACCACCAGAAAAACGGTGACAGCAAGCACATGCAACAGCCCTGCGCTCCCGAGAAGTGCGTTCGGGCATAATTCTGCCTTGAACAACCATCGTTTTTTCTTAAACTGTCAGAATTCCTGACTTTCTCTGAACAAGCGGAACGGAAGACGTCACCCCCCGGGATGGGGGACCATCCATCCAACGAGACAGCGGGCCCAAGCCATTTGCATAAGGATGGACCGAATGTGGGTGACCGCGTTGGCGCATCTGCTCCTTGTGATGATTCTACCGAGAGCTCATCAGTGGAAGAGATGGAATCGGAAGCCGACTTCAGGACATTCCATACCCGCCGGTTGAAAAGGAAGCTTCGCAGGACGTCATCAACGGCAGAGCCACAACCGGCGCTAGACAAAGGCAAGCGATGTTTCACCACCTCGTATGTACCCATGTCTACATCAGACAACCTGAACTCACTAAACAGGCAGTCATTGACTAATTATTTCGAGCGAGTTGCACCTGCTCAAGTGAATGAAATTCGCATAAATAGCAGGAAAAACATATTGTCAGTTGATGTGACAAACAAAACCATTCTTGACAAACTGAAGGCCGTCACGCAGCTCGGAAGTATTTCAGTTCGCGCGTTTCTCGCTCACGGGAAAGGAACAACGACTGGCGTGATAAATGACGTCGACGCTGACATCACAGACGCTGACCTGCAGAATCTTGTGACGTCGACAGTCAAAATCGTTACCATACGCCGCTTCGGGTAGTCACGCTGCATCAAACTAGTATTTGATTATGAGACTCTGCCCCCTAGCGTGAAGGTTGGATACGTGAGACATCCCGTGCGCCCTTACGTGCCACGGCCTTTGCAGTGTCACAAGTGCTGCAAGTTGGGACACGTCAGCGCAGTGTGCAAAAGTGAGACAACTTGCCAGCGGTGCGGCGGGTCTCATAAGGTGGAAAACTGCGATACTGCTGTTCCATTGAAATGCCCAAACTGCTCTGGTGCACATGAAGCAACGTCGAAGGAGTGCCCGAAGATCAAAGAAGAAATTCGCGTCCTGCGGAAGATGGTCAGAGACAACTCGACACACAGAGAGGCAGTCACGTCCATCCGCCGACACAGACGTCGTCCAAAACGTAGGCACCAGCGAAAGCATAGTGGACATAGGAGTGATGCATCACCATCAGCAACAGATGAACATACGCGTACGCATTATCAAACCACTACACCCATGTTGTATGCACCACGTCCCAGGGATGCAGAAAGTGGACCAACGCCCGCGTTGCACGCCGATGCTTCAGATACTGAGTGGCCTTCGCTACCGACTGGAGCAATAAAAAAGACCACATCATGGGCTGCAACTTCAAAGAGGGCGGAAAATGATAGGCAAAACACTGAGAAGAGCCAAACTATGCTGAAGAATCTATTAAAATCTATTCGTGCGATTCTCAACGAGCTACACACACCAGGAGCGAAAACAGCAGTTCAGATCCTCAACGTGCTGGAACCGCTACTGCTGGCCCTTCCATAAACAATATGGCGAATTTCTTCGATGAACGTGTGCGCACCTCTGCCATAATGCAGTGGAACGCACGGGGTTTGCGAAGCCGATTATCTGACTTTCGACAACGGATGTTTAAATACAAATTTCCGTTGGTTGTAATATGTGAGCCGAATATGATGTCGTCGTTTCGTATTTCCGGATACGTCACTTTGTGGTCACGTGATGATCGAAATGCGAGCAAAGTAATTATATGCGAACGTCAAGATTTAACGTACGTGAGACATGCCGTGGCTCCTCATGCTTCTAACGACTATATTTGCCTATCTATAAAGCACAAGCGACGTTCAATATCAATCATTGGTGGATACATTCCTCCTAGAAGCCACGTGGACTGTCCCCATATCTTGTCTGTTCTCCAAGCTTGCCCTGGACCACATGTATTAGTTGGGGATTTTAATGCACATCATCCCATGTGGGGTTCTGCCTCAATGAACACCCGCGGCAGGGACATTGCCGATTTTGTGCTCAATCAAGGCCTTATGTCCTTTAACGATGGCTCACCTACTTACCTTCGTGGCGCATCGTACAGCAGCTGTCTAGACGTATGTTTTGTGAGCAGAAGTCTCTTGCTTACCGCCTGTTGGTTTGTAGACGTTGAAACACATTGAAGTGACCATCTCCCTACATATATACAGCTTAAAGGTTTCCATCGTTTGTCTCCTCGGCCTGTGAAAAGCGTTGACTGGCCAGGATTCCAAGCTTCTGTAAATGCTCAGTGCGGGAACATTCAATCTATATCTGAAATAGAAAGCCTAATTGCATCAGCCTTAACAACGCATACGAAATTTGTGAATGTGTCGCTACCAAGATCACAACTTGACGCACAATATGAATACCTTCGTGCAATTCGTCGCCGGGCAGAGAGAAAATACAGGAGGCCGAAATCACCAGCTGACCTATCTACAGCACGCCAAGCACAACGACATGTATTGCGACACCTCGATAAGCTCGATAGGCAACGGTGGAGGGTATTTTGTAGCTCTCTTGATCCCAGAAAACCCCTGTCTCGAACATGGCAAACTGTCCGAAGCCTTCAGACGACCACTCAACAGTTGTTCCCTTTCCGATCTTTGGCTCTAAAGCAACGTCGACCTGAAGTAGAGGTTGCAGAAGATTACTGCCACTTACTCGCAGGTATGTCCTCCTCATCGATATCACCTTCGTGTTTAGCCTCACCGCCATCCAGTGACGATCGCCTCGACTTGCCATTCACAATGCACGAACTCGACGCTGCGATTTCTACGTCCCGACGGTCGTCCGCACCAGGGCCTGACGGAATTACTTATTCGGCTCTATATCACCTCAGCCAGGAAGCAAGGCAGGCTCTCTTGTCGTTCTACAACTCTACGTGGGAAACAGCGACAGTACCAGAGAGTTGGAAGTGCAGCCGCATAGTGGCCTTACTGAAACCAGGCAAGTGTTCACACGAGTTGTCTTCTTATAGACCCATTGCCCTAGCCAGTTGCATCGGTAAGGTGATGGAACGCATGGTGCTGGCAAGATTGGAATGGCTGCTGGAGAATAATGTCGGCTTACCAGATTTTATAAATGGCTTCCGTAGAGGTCGATCATCTATAGATGGTGTTGTAGATCTAGTTTCTTCTGTTGAAAAGGAAAGACAACGTCGGAGATTGGTAGGGGCCATTTTCCTAGATATAAAGGGCGCGTACAATAGCGTCTACCATGAGGCCATTCTTGACGCACTTGAAGACATCGGCGTAGGTGGCCGCCTACACGCATGGATAGGGAGCTATTTCAGAGGACGTACCATTTTTATGTCGACATCCGACGGTGACACAGCCAGGCACCTCGTAAGCCGTGGAGTTCCGCAAGGCGCCGTCCTGAGCCCCATGTTTTTTAACATAACACTCATTGGCCTTGAAGCCGAGTTTCCCGACGTTGTCAGAATCAAAGCGTATGCGGACGACATATGCATATGGGCATCTGGAGCAACGCGACCACAACTGCGAGCAAGGCTACAACAAGGCACATCAATAACATCTAAGTACTTACGTCGTCAGGGCCTGGAACTTTAAATAGCAAAATGTGCTGCATTGGCATTTACGAAGAAATCAATGTCGCGGTACCCAATCTTCGCTCACGGAGCAGTGATTCCCGTGGTTAAGCACCACCCCTATTTAGGGGTCGTCATTGATCGCAACCTGTCCTGGTCAAAGCATGTGACTGTGCTGAGAAACAAACTAGTCAGTTTTGTGTATGTTCTTCGTGTTATAGCAGGACTGAGATG